ACAAACTGGATGAGATAATAACAGGTAGAGTTAGGTTAGGTCCTAAGAATGCATACATGAGATGATATGGTAGTGGTTTCAGTTCCAACTTTGGTGGCTCTTCTATTGATGGCTTAGTTGGAGGAGTTTTTCTTTCCTCTAAGTGCAAAGGATCAAAATCGAGCTCCTTTGTCCAAAAAGCTTGGCCTTCAAGAGAAAGTACCGACTCAGACAAATCTTCTCCATTAGCTTCTAAGTTTATGAGACAGGCTTCTAGAGGGTCTTTGATGTTCAATGCCTCATCTTCCTCCTCCAAAACTACATATACTGCATCTATCAGAGAGCAATTAGCAAATTCACTTGGTCTCCGCATATATTTTTGCACATTGAATGTTATCTCTTCATTGTTTAATCTCATCTTGATCTCTCTAGTTTCACAATTAATTAAAGCTCTCACAGTGGCCAAGAATAGTCTTCCCAAATTATGGGAATTTCCTCGTCAACCCGACAGTCAAGGATGATGAAATTTGCTGGGAACACGAACTTTCCAACCTGTACCAATACATCATCTAGAATCCCAGAGGGCCTCTTCACTATTCGATCAGCCAGCTGTAGTAACATAGACATGGGTTAAGCTCTTCTAATGCCTAACCTTTTATAGATAGCCAGGGGCATAAGGTTTATGCTTGATCCCAGATCACACAATACCTTAGCAAATGTAAAGAACTCCCTGGGTCAGGCAGCTTCTCAGCTATAGGTCTTGTTACGATAGCACTGCAAGTCTAAGTCAGTGTAACTATGGCCAAGTCTTGAAAGTCGAACTTGAGGGACATCAAGTCCTTCATCATCTTCGCATACCTAGGCATCTTCTTTAAAACATCAATAAATGGAATGTTTACCTAAATTTACTTCAACATCTCCAAGAATTTCTTGTTCTGCTCATCTTTCTGATACTTGGCCAATATCTGTGGTAATGGTGTTGGAGGTCGCTTCTTCCCTGTGATCTGATTTTTTTCTTATTTAGGCACTGCTTCCACTATCTGCTCATGTACAACCTCTGTCTCCTTCGCCACCTCTTCTTCTTTGTTGGTGTTCTCTTGCGCATGTTGTACCGTCACCTCAGTTAACCCTACTGAATTGTCTAGCTCAACGGGTATTGGCACCAGTGTCTCTATCTATCAATTTCTTGCTCCATATCAAAGTCTCTACCATTTCGGAGACTCACTGCCATCAACTGCTTCGGGCCCTACTCTTTTGGATTGATTTGGGTATTTGCAAGTAATGTCCCATGAAGACGATTATTTAGGGCCATGTAAATCTGTCCTAATTGGATCTCAATATTCTTTATCACTGACTCATGTGAGTCTACTCTGTCAGCTAGTATCCCAGTGGACCCAATCACTTGTTGCATAATTCCCTCAAGTTTAGAAAAATCATATTCATGTCTCATAATCTGTTGTTGTGGAGGTTGTTGATAAGTCTGCTGCTGATTTTGTTGGTTGTACCCTTGTTGCCTTTGGTAAGGTACCATTTGCCCCTGTGGTCACATAGCCGCATGGTTATTGTACTGCTGCTGAGCTGGTCTATGTTGTTGATTCTGCTGACCCCAAGTTTGACCACCTAGTCTCGGTCCCCCATAGTTGGCCACATAATTCATGTTCTCCTGATATTGTTGATTATCACCTTCAGCACTCCACGAGCAGACATATGGTTGATTAATACATGATGTACATAGACCCCCATTAGTTGCATCAACTATGTGTACCTGCTGCTTCTAGCCTGATTCTTCAACCTTTTTGGTGAGGATGCTCATTTGTGTCAGTAAAGTGGCCATATTTTCAGCCATGGAGTTAGCTGGGTCTAGAACCACTAAGTGAACCACATGAGTGATTGGAGCGTTTCTTGTTTTTCATATTGAGTTTTGTGTCATCTTGTCAAGTAGGATCTTGCTCTCTCTAAATGTTTTGCTCAAAAATGCTCCACCTGCTGAAGCATCAATATTGACTTTCAAAGTATCTGCTAAACCCATGTAAAATCTCTGCCCCAACATCTGCTCCGGAATACCATGATGTGGACACGTAACTAGAAGACCTTTAAATCTCTCCCACGTTTTGTGTAGAGTCTTAGTTGGTTTCTGTATGAAGCTCAATATCTCATCAATTTGCTGAGCAGTCTTGTTGGTTGGATGAAATTTGTTCAAATATTGCTTGAATAATTCCTCCCAAGTAGTGATGGAGTTGATGGGGAGTGAATTAAGCCAAGTCTGAGCAGCTCCTCTCACTGAGAATGGGAACAACAACAAACGTATTACTTCTGGTGTCACGTTGTGTTGCCTCTGCATGGCACAGATTGATAGGAAATTCTTTAGATATTATTGAGGATCTTCAACGTATGGCCCAGAGAATAGTCCATTATTCTGCAACAGATGTAGCATGTTATTTGTGATCTGGAATGGATCTGCTTGTATAAGAGGGACTACAATGGCAGTTGCTAAGTTGTTAGTTGTGGGTTGTGCCCAGTCATATAGTGCTGCTTCTGGCATAAGAGGTGCCACACCCTGATCGTTTGGGTCATTCACGTTGTCTCTATTGTTTGGATGATCGTCTTCCATGTCTGGTTCAATTTTTTCGGTTGAGTTCTGTTGTCGTTTGCCTTTCCTGTTTACACGATTCAATGACTTAAACTCTTTCTTAGGATCTAATAATGCGTCGAACAATTCACTAGTTCTTGAGGAGTTTCTAGACATGCACCTGTAACAATCACGACTTCAAACGTTAGAATTTCAATGGTTAGTTTAAATTGAAGAAAATTGACAACACTAAGAATTTTTGCACTTCTATTTAACTGCAATCAATAACACCGTTAGTTCCCCGGCAACGATGCCAAAATTTGATCACGCCCAACTATGCCTTATAAAAAGGACAAAGCAGTCGCTGCAAATATATTCCGGTTAACAAGTCCAGAGTCGAATCCCACAGTGAATTAACCTTTTAATCACAGCTATTGGACTCACAGAAATTCACGTATTCAATCTTCAGAGATATTTGAGTAACAAATTGGGTGTTTACTCACTAAATATTATGTAGTAAAAATACAGTAATTAAGAACTAGCTATAAACCATTTGTAAACAAGAATGAGGATGGTCTAAGGTTCTGATTTTCCTTCTTGTAGGAATCCTTTCCGCTATGTTTGCTATAAATTTGCTTAAGTCTTATCTATCGATCATGAGCACTCTGACTGTCGTATCTCTCTCCCGAGTACTTACAACAATATACTAGATATATTCTCCCGAGTTATGCTAGCTGGCCTTAGTTACAACTCGCTTAGATCGCACCCAAGGTTTCGTTATCCATAATCCCACCTTTAAACCCTTCGTATTGATCCCTCATATACGTTAGGAGTGGTATTGTTTAACAACTACCTAAATATGCAATCTCTCCCAAGTAATGCATACTAAATAGGTACAGCCGATTGAGGGCCCTTCAATCAACAACAATCACAATATAGTTGAACAAACAGAGAAAATATTATGGCAAATCTATATTAACATAATGAAAAATTCATCCTACAAGAGGTTCCATCAAAACCCTAGATTAGGAGTTTAGCTATGCATAATCGTTTTTACTATCATAACAATAGAATTCATCATCAGTGATAAAAACAAGAGGAAGTAAGGTAAACTCTATGTCGAATCTTCCGCCTTGCCTCTTGCATGTTCTTGCCTTCAACAATCCTTCCAAAACAATCATCCCTTCTTTTTTTGGGCAAGCTGGCTTCTTATAGGTTAAAGAGAGTCGCCCCTGAACTTAGGAATTTACCCCTGAAATAAAATTCCTTGGAGGAAAGAGCGCGGCCGTTGTTGGACCGCGGTTGGACCGCGCATAACGCCATCTCTTCTTCCTGACGAGCGCGGTCGTGGTTGGCCCGCGCTCCTGGAGTGCAATCTATCTTCCATTTTTCCTTCTTCTATTGCACACTCACCTCCAATTGGTCTTCTTTGCCCCAAAATTAACTCCAAACACTCTTTAATGTCCTCATAGTCAGGAATCGCAGCTCCTACAAAGCACAAAGTTCATAATTAGAGCTTTTTGTTGTCATTTATCATTCATATAACAATAAAGTATAGCAAAGTTGGAGCGTAAATAATAGCTAAACTACGTAAATATAGCCTATTATCAGATATATATGTCTTGAGCAAGAGGCACAATTTCTAGGAAAATTCTATATAGGTAGGTAATAGTTTATACTCTCTTGACCATGGAGGTTTTCTATGTAAAATTGTCTGTGTTCTTTAAGTTCAGCACTTTACTTTCTGTTTGGTACAGGAATCTAAAAGATTGTTCTTCAATAGGATAAAATCGGGCTAGATACATTTCACCTTTTACCCGTCTTGTGTCTTTATGCACTCTAAATTAACAGTCTTGACGTACACTGTTTTAATTTAATTTGAAATACAAAAATAAAACCAAATATGGTAATACTCTTTCTTCTTCTCACGTGAAGGCAATCAGTTTGTTCACTGATTTCCTAAATCAGTAACAATTTAAATTCTTAAATGACGTGATAGCATACTTCAATACACAGACGAATATGTTTAACGATATGTAAATAAAAACCAACAGAAAAAATGTTAGCCAAATTAGTAAAACCTAAACTGACTACATCAGTGAAATATTAATTAATGCCGGAACTCATCACCTCGAGAATTTACTCGGAAAACACTAGGAAAGATAACTGGAAAAAAAAAACTTTTGGTGAAATTTTTAAATAAATTAAGATCAAAAAATATATTTTCAACTAAAGTTTCGCATTCGCATTAATCTAAAAAAGTAGTAGTATATACTTTTCTCCGCCATTTCCAATGGTATTTAATTCTAAATTAGTATCTTTTCTTGTATGTTTCACAAACCATTATTACTTAGTGATTTGGTATCTCATCAATGATTCTTTCTCTCCCTATAAAATGTTAAAGTTAAATCCTCACTTAGTCACAAAGAAACAACAAATACAGTTCAGTGAAATGGCTGTGTCTCAAATTCAATGCGCTGCCTTTCTTTCTCTCTTCTTTTGCTTCCTAATTGCTTCAACTGGTGAGTAAGCCAACAAGCTTACATCCTACTTAACACTTTCTGCCTGACATTGTTTGGTTTTAAAGTCAAAATAGAACTCCTTTCTCATTTATAGATCAAAATTATTGGATTTCTATTTAGTTGTTCCACATATTTGAGGGAATGAGTTGTTGTCTCCGATTGCAGAGACAGGAATTTCATAAAAAAAAGAGTTAGAAAAAAAAATACCCTCTTGTATTCAGGGGATTTAACAGTTTATATATACATAAAAAGGATTTCCACCTATACACATAGTAAAAAATTTCGCCGAAGGGAATTCAGTTGAAACCTCTTGGGTAAATGGCTCCGGCACTAGTTGTCTCCTGATATGATCTTAGGCAATCTAGGAATGGATTGTTGTCTCCTTATATAGTTTTGGATGATCCTAACCTCATGAACTAATTTTTGGGATTGAGCTAGGCCCTGTATCCATTTTTTGTTACAAGGTACTAGAACCAGACTCATTCATGTTCTTGATTCACTCGTTTAGCCCTCATATTATATATATTGTACACGCTCCAAATGTCCAACGATGGGCGTGTCATGGGTGTTAAGTTGCACGTTGGTTGAGGGAATAAGTTATTGTCTTCTTATATGATCTTAAGACACCTGCACTAGGAGCTAATTTTTAGAGTTGAGTTAGGTCCACGATCATATAACTTTGTATTTTTGGATTGTTAAACTAATACTTCTTATTCTTTTCTACACAGAGATGATGCAAAAGGCAGAAGCACTTGGTTGTGAAAAGCCTAGCACAACATGGTCAGGGCCTTGCTTGTTTAGTGATGATTGTAACAACCAATGCATCAATTGGGAGGGAGCTGTTCATGGAGAGTGTAGTTTTGCACTTGGCCCTGAATGCTTTTGCTACTTCTGCTGATAATTGATCGCCATACTTCATTATCAACTTGGATTGATGCTGTGAATGCCCAAAAAATTATGTGAAGTTTTTTTATAATAAGGCGACAGATTTAAATTACACTGATATATAGGTGTAAAACTTTTTTTATATTGTCGGTATATATAACTTAAATCATAGTAATAGTGCGCACTGAAATTAAGTCTCTTCCACGAGAATAAATAAAGGGAAAATGCATAAGTTCCCCCCTGACTTATACCCGTATTCTCAACTACACACTTTTTCTTTTTGGAAATCCTATTACCTCCCTAAACTTATTTTAAATGGAATTATTTGCACCCTTAACACTAACGTGGCAGAGTGTGTGTATTTTGGGAGAGTGAGAAGCAAGAAAAAATGATTCTCAGATTATTTTTTATTTTTTTTACCATTTTTTCTTACTTTTTTTTCTTTTCCTTTTCCTTTTTCTTTGTCTTTTTTCTTTTACTTTTTTTTTTCATTTCTTCTCTAATTCCGGCGGATATTCATCCACCGACGACTTTGCCTAATCGTTTTTCTTCCATTTTTTCTTTTCACACACAATTTAAACTCTCAAAAAGATCATAAGCAAAGTAAAATACACTCAGAATTGGGGAAACAAATTCATCATATAAAACAAAACACACTTAGATCGAGATAAGAATCTATCGCCGGGAAAAAAAAATTCGCCGAAAAAATGGTGTTTGTGAAATTCCGACGACCACCATTTTATGCGGTCCATGACCAAAACAAAAATATAGAGAATGAAATAACCAAAAAAAATGAGAATAATAAGAAATAAGAAAAAAGATAAGAAAAAGAAGAAAAAATAAAAAAAGTATTAAAAATACATGTGGGGGCGCGTGTAGCTCACCACTTACTAAGAGTTTGGTTGTCATCGTTAAGGGTGCAAAGAATTTCATTTAAAATAAATTTAGGGGGGTAATAGGATTCCCCCCAAAAAAATGTATAGTTAAAAATCCGAATATAAATTGGGGGTACTCATACATTTTTCCGTAAATAAATAAAAACTCCGCATATGCGACACGATTGCCTTGACAAATGGAAGAATATTGAAGGTAGCATGCATGTGAGGCGATCTTGAGTACTTCAAAAACTTTTTAAGATGTCGAATGGCATAAAAAATATAACATTTTAGTATGTGTTTAATGTTTATATAAGTTTCATCACTTTGCCTAATATACTTTTCAAGATGAGGCGAAGGCGTGGCTACATCAGCATATGTGTTTAATTAATACCCCTTTGTTTCAATTTATATGGCGTAGTCCAGAGTACGAGGTCAAGCTGATTAATTTTGTGTGTGAATTCAGATATAGAATTTTATTTTTTTTGAAATTAAATTTGTATACTTAAAAAATATATAAAAAGTATTATAAATCACAATAATTAGCCATTCAAAATATTTAAAAAGCACTTAAAAAAAGTATGACAAAAAATTAATATTCTTTGACCCTTTAAATAGTTGCAGTGTCATATGAAGAGCCTTTAAATAGTAATTGTGTCATATGAAGACAGATAGAATATTAGGTCAATCAAATTCCTAGAGATGGTGAATAAAAAACTCTTCTAACACTTCAAGACCCAAAAAAGTAATAAGCAATCTAAAATCTTTGATCTTGAAGTTGCTACATCACTAAAAACTTGAGGCCTACAAATTTCTTAATTATCATTCCCGGTAAGCAATATATCGCCAAAATAAACTACACCGTTGGATTATAAATTTAGGTAATTAAAGAAAAGTTTTGACATTCAAACCAAATATTATAAAAATACTTTTGGAAATATGTATATTTTTAAAGTTAGTGTTGCTCATTTCATCTATTGTTTTTTTATCATGAAAATTAATATTCTTTTATGTTTATATAGAGATTTGCTATTTTTGTTAACAAATGAAATAATACTCCCTCTGTTTCAATTTAAATGACACACTTTCTTTATTAGTCCGTTCCAAAAAGAATGATACGTTTGTACTATTAGAAACAATTCAATTTTGAACTCTTCATTTTATCCATTTTACCCTTAATGAAAAGCTTTTATAACCACACAAATATCATAGCCTCACAAAGTTTTTACCCGTTAACCTTCTAAGATCACAAGTTTCATGTAACACCCCGTAAATTTGAATCAGTTGTGGATGCATTAAATGAGTATTAATGTGATGGTTATCAATTGGTTATGATAAAAAGTGTACGAGGCATATCATAAGTAATTTGGGGTCCAAGGAAAGACCTAAGTCTAAGCCAAGTTAGAAAATTACATGATAGACTAAAATTCCAAATGAGCACGAACAAGACCAAACTTTGGATAAGAATATCTACATTTATATAAGGTGTTATTTGATGCACAGCCTATCAAATAAAATATCTTGGAGTTTAGTTTCTAACGCTTCAGACCGTTCGTCATTTGGACACTCCTACCAGAAGTTATGACCAAATTACCAAAAGCTAGTAGAATTTTACACTACCGCGCCGCCCCATGCTTCGCCCCATGCGGCGAGGCTTTGTAGATAACAGAGCACCTCCAAATTTTGTTTCTAGACGCACTTTTCATTACCGCGCTGCCCCATGAGTTTCCCCATACGCCGCGGCTGTGCAAATCTTCGTTTTTTTCAACCCGACCCTATTTTGATATAAAACCTTCGGGGGTTATTTTTCCCACTTCATTTGGACAAATTTTAGGGTTTTCCTCCATTCTCTCAAGACCTCCAACCCCTCCCATCTTCAAGGTAAGCAATCCCCATTATCTTGGTGTGAATTCCATCATTTATACACTAGTATTGATTAAATCTACACATAAAATACTTAGATCTTCAAGGGATTTCTTCAAGAACTCAAAGGAGGATTTTGCAAGATTTCTTCCAAAAAGGTAATCCTACACCCTGAGACTTACATGTATTGTCACGATCCAAAAATTCCTCCGAAAGAGTCGTGATGGCACCTAGTCTCTAAACTAGGTAAGCCTAACATAAACTGAAATAACATTGATAGTTACTAACTTTAAATTAAATTACTCTAGACAAATTACAATTTCCAAAACCAGTGGTACAAGTCACAAGCCTTTCTAAGAGTAATTATACAAAATAAATACATCATTGTTCTGAAACAAAAGGAACAAGTGGAAATAAGTACAAATGAAGGTGACTCCGAGGCCTGCGAACGTTGTAGCAGGTTTACCTTGAGTCTCCACTGCAACGACCCGCACAGCTACTACCGATCAAATACCTGGATCTGTACACAAAAATATACAGGAGTGTAGTATAAGCACACCATGTCGGTGCCCAGTAAGTATCAAGACTAACCTCGGTGGAGTAGTGACGAGGAATGGTCCAGACACCTACTGGTCAAATAAATTGAATAGGATTTGATATATCAAGCTAGAAATGACAAAGTAATATCAACAACAAGGAAAGAACAAACTACAATCAGTAGAAACAATAAAGAGAAATACGGGTGGAAACTAAATATAACCAAATAAATTAACACCAACATAGTTGGAACATAGACAAGTAAAAATATTCTCAAACAAGGAAGGCGATGTCAGCTCAATAAATCATATCATTTCTGATACACAACTTCCAGTCATCTCAAACTCGATGTCTCATATCATAACCTCAATTACTAAACTTTTAGCACACCCGTCTCCTTTTGCCCGCATATTTTTATCTCACTTTACACAACAATGTTCTTATGTTACTCAATTCATAGGGTCCATAACCAATGCAATTAAAATGTTTAAGGAGTCTGATTTACATAACATAAAGTAGAGTACAACTTCTAAACCAATTAGGAACTCAGCAAGAAAAGACGAAATTATTTTTAGAAATCATTTGGATAAAGAAAGTGCCATTTTCAATTAAAGTACAACATCGAATGAATTATTACTTTTAACAAGGGATTTAATAAATTAACTTAGTAGAAATTCCATTTTTAAGTAAACTACAACCTAAGATAGTTTAAGGAAATTTAATTGAGTAACTAATTTAATTGAAGATGAAATAATTATTGAAATTTGATGTATTGAAAAATATGTATATAAATACAGCGAAGTATTGAAAATACTATGGGGTTCCATTACAAAGGATCACATCGGTAAAAGAATCTGAACAGTTAAAACACTTGAATTGGTAACAACAAATAAGCATAGCAAACAGAAAGTGCACGGCATCACCCTTCATGCTTTTACTCTCGTTCTTACCATAAGAATCAATATATTTGGCACAGCATCACCCTTCGTGCTTTTACCTCACATAATCATGGCACGACATTATCATTCGTGCATTATCACTCATATCATGGCACGACATCACCCTTCGTGCTTTTATATTTACAATATCGGCACGACATCATCCTTCGTGCTTTTACACTCACTCACAAATATCACGCACGACATAATCCTTCGTGCTTTTACACTCTTCCTTACCCAAGCAGCAATCACAAAGCAATTCGGGCAAGGGAATCAATAAAATCACAATAGAATCCCGGCAAGGGAACAATAGTATAATATCAATATTTCGGCAAGGGAAACAATATCATAAGCAATAACATCCCGGCAAGGGAATCAACAATAACCAATCCGTCTCAACAATTAACTTCACAAAATGAATCCCAACTTGAGTCAATATTCAACAACGATCAAATACCAAGGAATTACCATAAGCTTGGTCCAACATGAATACTCATCGAGTCAAGCATGAATAGTACATAATAAGGATCACGAAAAGAAAACTGATCACGCCCAACTATGCCTTATAAAAAGGACAATGTGGTCGTTGCAAATATAATCCGGTTTACAAGTCTGGAGTCGAATCCCACAGAGAGTTAACCTATCAATCACAATCTTTAGACCCACTAAACTCTTTAGAACCAGCTTCCCAAATGTTTGAATCACAAGTTGATGGTTTCTTTAGTAACTAAGATTGCAAGTAAATTAAACAGGCTGTAAACTAAAACTCTAAGGTTGTAAACAATGATGAGATAAAGCTA